GTACTTGAAAGGACTCCATTGAAGAGACAGAGCCATTTCCTTCCACGCATTTCCCTGAGGGACATATAACACTTCCTTTCGAAATAATTTAAAGTTTCGGAGCGTGGCGATAAGGCGTTTAAATGCCTAAAACACTCTTGTGACATAGAGAAATATTCTTTGAAAGTCTGTATTTGGACATACATTATGGATTTCAAAGCACATGTTATGTAATTCACAGTATTAATTTTTTATTTTTCTCACAATTGTAGGTGTCAACAGTTCTTGATTTTCAAGTAAAATTTCCACGAGACTCCCTATTATATGGGGATAAATAGCTGATTCCAGCGGTTCATTCCCGGTTAGTGCGTTGACCGCACGGTGCAGAAGTACCGGGTTCAATTCCAGCTCTGGCCTCCCTCGGTGGAGTTTGCAAGTTTTCCCCGGGCCTGCGTGGGTTTTCTCCGGGTACTCCGGTTTCCTCCCACATTCCAAAAAACATGCATGACAGGCTGATTGAACACTCCAAATTGTCCCTAGGTTTGAGTGTGAGTGCGGATGGTTGTTCGTCTCTGTGTGCCCTGCGATGGGCTGGTAACCAGTTTGGGGTGTCCCCCGCCTACTGCCCGAGGACAGCTGGGATGGGCTCCGACGCCCCCCTTGTGAGGATAAAACGAATCGGAAAATGAATGAATGAATAGTTGATTCCATTTCCTCCTCACCACTAGGGTGCACTTCAGAGCACAAGGTGTGTTCACAGGAGTCCCCAAATTGCATAGAAGAAGTGTTACCTGGGCACCAGTGCATTTAACTGTCAAGAACTCTTCTGCTGCATTATCCAAATATTTAAAAATATATATGCAACACTGGTTGCCAAACCTCCTCCTCACCACTAAAGGATCTCCGGAGAATAAATGGTGCACTTCAGAGCACAAGGTGTGTTCACAGGAGTGCCCAAATTGCATAGAAGAAGTGTTACCTGGGCACAAGAACTCTTCTGCTGCATTATCCAAATATTTAAAAATATATATGCAACACTGGTTGCCAGACCTCCTCCTCACCTCTCCATCTCCGGAGAATAAACTAGAATCTCAATAAAACATTGAAATAAAAACACTTGGCTTGCATTTTGCTTTTCCAATGCAGAGATCCAGCAAAAAACATAATTTCTACAACAGTAAAATAAAAATACACTGATGTTGTATTATAAACTTTTTCGAATCTGTCTTTCTCAAATTCGAAAATAATGATAATATTTGTTGTGCTGAAACATTTCACTTTGTTGCATCTGAGGGCAAGCTGTTACAGTATATTAGATGACAGAAGTCTTTTTGTTTTTAAAGAACAACATTTTCGCTGCTTCCAGTTGCGGGCACTTTATGACAAAACAAAGCTGCCATTTGTGTCCTGCCGTGATGACTTTGTGGCTCGTTATTTCCTGACTCACGGAGAGCACGCTGATGATGTGATGATGTGCTTTTTCTTCCTTTTGTGGTTCTACTGCAGAAAAATGGATGGCATAAGCATCACTTCCTTGTTGGCACTTGACCGCCTTCCTCTGGTGCTGGAGTGCTGCCAAAGGGGAGACTGCCGTTAGCTGCGCTGTCTGTCTCTGCAATGCTAAGTCTTCTCATCAAGTCGTATCCGTGCAAGACTGCATGTTCTTTGTTCATACACGTTAATGGCACCTCATTGGCCTCTGAAGACTTACAGTAAGTCCCATAGTTTTTAATAAGCATTGTTAATGTCCAGCAAATGCGTTCCCAGACAGTCACGTGCCTTGCCAAGTCAACAGGTGGCGCTAGAACCTCCACCCCAAAACTCCATCGGCCAATTGGAACCGTAAAACCAGCCAGGGAAAGAAAAGCACGTTGATGTCAAGTAGGAAATGCAGGCTTCTACTGTTCACGTATTGTTGAAATAAACCAAAACGGTTGGGGTGAAATGCAGACTTTTGGTAAGCTTCATGCAAAGTATTGTACTTAAAAGTGAAGTACAACTAAAGTGTACTTACAGTAACAAATACACTGTACTGGATTTAAAAAAAAAAAAAAAAAAAAAAGATGAATCTAAAATGCAGTTTGAATATTTAATTCAGTGATTATTTTCCATACCACTAGAGGGAGCCCATGTAAACACTAATGGTAATACTGTAATACAAGTTGGGGTGAAATGCAGACTTTTGGTAAGCTTCATGCAAAGTATTGTACTTAAAAGTGAAGTACAACTGAAGTGTACTTACAGTAACAAATGCACTGCACTGGATGAAAAAAAAAAGATGAGGCTAAGATGCAGTTTGAACATTTAATTCAGTGATTCTTTTCCATACCACTAGAGGGAGCCCATGTAACCACTAATGATAATACTGTAATACAACACTTGGAGAATCACTGCTATATAGCGACCACAATTACTTCTAATGGGAGGTGAATTTTCAGGTGTGTCAAGAAATCCCTTGGCTGCAGCTTGCGGTCGTAGCACACCTCTAATTGGTCCCCCGAGTATCCTGACGAACAGTCCTATGACAACGATTAAGCACAACCTGATGGGCAACACACTCCGGACAGTTGTGCCTTTATTACCTTATTTCAGGAACTAGCAAAGTCACCAAACACCACTCCGGCTGACCCGAAGGGTCTGCGTTATGTATTTTTAGATATCCCATACGGCGTTGCACCCTCCCGTGAAAACCGACACCTGCTGCGACCGTCCGTCAGCCGAAGCCCGTTAACCGATGTTGAAGGGGCTCAAACCACCATCCGGACATGCTAGCTGTGTGCCCTTGCGGTTTTTACGCCGCTTAACTCACATACACTTGGGGATGGTGTCGTTTAGCCGCCGTCAGCACGCTCGCTTGACACTGAGCTGCTGAGTGGTACCCGAAGGAGCCGAGACAACAAGGGGGAAACTGCTGATGGAGCTGTAGGGAAGGGCAGCCACCAGATGCTCAACAATCCTTACCCGCGACACCTCCATCACATCCACAACCAAACATGACTCCAATTAAAGTGGTACCTCTACTTACGAACGTCTCTTCATTACGAAATTTTGAAGTTACGTAACGTCTCAACAGGAAAATATTGCCTCTTGTTACGAAAGAAATTTCAAGATACGATAAAATACAGTAAGACCTGCTAATCGCAGCTCCGAGTTTCCTGAACGCAACATACTGATAGCTGCTCTGCCATTGGCTATTACCGAGCATCATTCTGGCATCCCATTGGCTAAGAGGGACTTCTACCGAATGTGTCTATATGCGTACACATATAGATATGAAAACCACTTCTGAGAGAGAACATGGACTAAAGAGGGCAAAAAACGATGAGGACGCAGTTGAAAGTGAAATGACCGTCATTTTTATTCTTTACTCTATTCTTTGTTTTGCATTACAACTCTCATGTATTGTGCAATAATCCAATTGTAATGCATTTTTATGCTTTAGGAAACATTTATGTTTGAATTGGGGGGGGGGGCTTGGAACGAATTAGGGCATTTACATGGAAAACGCGTCTCTACTTACAAAATTTTCTATTTAAGAAATTTCTTCCAGAACCAATTAATTTCATAAGTAGAGGTACCACTGTATATTCAAAATGAAACAACAACAAAAAAAAAAATTCCACAAAAATGGATTAATCTGCCCTACACTTTCATATAGTTTTACTTGTACGGACAAGTAACCGAAAAGTTGAGTTCAGAAATAAATCCACCTTTCTTTTCACTGTCTCAAACAAATGAAATGAACTCAGACTATATAGCTGAGCATCCAGGGTGTGATGGTGCCTGCGCTGCCTCATGCCAAGTCAAATGCGCCTGAGGGGAAAGCAGTCAGACACTAATAATCGAATTGTCTGGCTTCCCTCCACCCTTCTTGACCGGTGGAACTACACCGCACGTTGGCTGTGCCAACATTATTTCCTGTTTGGGCCTTCTGACAAACGCTAAAAATCCTGGTTCAAATGGAGTTGACGCATCTGTTTTAATGCGGAGGGGCATTCAATCTATTCAGAAGGCGAGACTTGCAGCATCGCTATCTTCCTGGAAGAGAGCAGTGAGACGGATTCACGAGAGGAATGGGTGGGAAAGGGAGTGGCTGCATTCCAGGTCGTTTCTCAATGACGTTTGGAATGCGAGATGCACATTTCTGGCACAAGAATAAACATTTTAATGAAGAGAAGTAATGCATAGTTTTTAACTATAGTTTTTATCTACCGTCGTCCCTCACTATATCGTAGCTCACTTGTTGCGGCTTCATCGTACGGCAGATTTTTAAATCGATGAGTGAAACGATTCCCTGCTGCGAGGCAGCACAGTTTCATGTCCGGCAGAGCAAAGCCTCGTGGGAGTTGAGGTTAATTTTAGTCCCCATGACAGCGATTGTAAGTGAAATGGAAACAGTTCGCACTTGACCGGCACAGGCGGGCCTCCGCCTAATTTGGATCAACGCGTTCCTTGAGTGCAATCCCACCACTTTTTTGAGGCGCATTTGGGTGTTTGCACTGCAGGAACAGTTGTCTAAATTTAGTTCTTGGGCCAAAAGAAGACCCTGTTAGGCACAATATCTCAACAGGTCCAGGAAACTTTGGAGCCTTGGAGGTCCAGGAATTACAAAGAAGTTCGGTATGTTTAGGTGAAATCTTTGGATATTTATCTCCTGTCTAACATGCTGAGATTTTGTGCGTGATACGCATGCATTATTTACAGAGAAATGAAAGAAAATGTTTTCACTTGGTGCTGATGAAAGGAAAATTAAAATCAGTTTTGAACGCATGCATTATTTACAGAGAAATGAAAGAAAATGTGTCATTTGGTGCTGATGAAATGAAAATTAAAATCAGTTTTGAAAAAAAAAATCCCTGAATTCCCCTGATGCAGACTTGCACCAAATTTTATTGAGTTGCCCGTTTTGAGAAAATTAACAAACCAGAGCTTAAAAAAAGTGAGTCTCCACTTGCCACCAATCTACTGTGATGTTACGTAATTCTTCTCCCAAACCACAAACTGAAAAGATAAATGTTAACTCATGTTTTCCACGCAATTTTATTGAGCAAAAACATCTCATCATAGTATTATACATTTAATATCTATGTAAGCTTATTTGTGACTAACTAACAGGGTGTTTTATCTCACTCTGATTGGAGCAGTACATTTTCCTTGACTTGGAATTCTCCTCAAGTAAGTCGCTTCACATATCACTAAACCAGACATTTCTTGTAAGGGGTCAATCTTCAAAATCTTCTTGTCTAGCAATACAGGGCCAAGACATTGTGTTGAATCAATTAAACATCAAAACCGAGGAAACATTTTTTTAGCCATCCATATTTTGTCACTCAAAATTCTTCAGAAAGGGGCTTTTTGAAAAGTTGATTCAAGAGAGAAGATGTGAAAAATGAAATCATCATTGAAATTTAGCGTGTGTTTCGAACCGCGTCAAAGGTCATCTGACTCGGGGGCGAGCGCGGCCTGCGGGATCACGGCGTGTAGGGGGACCGAAGCACCCCTATCATGCCACCCCCGAGCGGCCCTGTTGAAGCAGGGGCGACCTCTGAGCTCGGGGAAGTCGGGCAGGGCGAGCTCCGCCTTCAAGTTCTGGTCGGCCGCGAGCGCGGGCGCCTCGGCGAAGCCGCCGAACGGGATGGCCACTCTGGAGACGGCAGTGTGTCAGCAAAGGGGACCCTTGTTGCCATTCTGCCCGAGCCTTTGCCGTTCTCACCTATTGAAGCTTTTGTAGCCTGGCAGGTCCGCTGATGGTTCCAGTTGGGACAGGCAGGAGACGAGTGTGTCAACCAGGGCTGGTTCCCTGACAAGGGCTAGGTGCCAGGGCGAGTGGTAGGACTTGGGGATAGCCGTTCTGTTGAACTTCTCCGGTGGGATGTCTTTCAGGGGACCCTCGTAGCCTGCGGGGTTGCACAGCACAAAGTCAACCCTTTTAAATGTTGCATTTTTAAGAATGTGAAGCACATTGAATTACCTTGTGAATGAAATATGTTCTGCACAGCTGCCTTGCCATGTGCGCAAGTGTTGGAAAGAGAGGGAGAGTCGGGCCTATCCCGAGTACTGTCCTTCAAAGCCAGTGCTTCACTCAGGAAAGTGTATGTGTGTGTGTGTGGGGGGGGGGGGGGGTTATATAACGTAGGGGAGACTTTGTGTCACGTCCGAAGTGCTCACAATGAACAATCCTCCTTCCTGAGTTTATGTTTTGCCCTCAGGGGGGAAGCAGCACAGACCAAACAGACCTGTGGGGAAGTCTGCAGCATTTTAGGAAGGAGAGGATCTGAGCTCAATACACTTCATGTGGTGGCGGCAGCGGCAGAAGGGAGTCGAGGGTTGGGGTAGGGGGGCGGGGGCAGAGGGTGTGTTATCAAACAGGAAATGTTAAGCACGGGCATCACATGCCCACGGAAGACGGTCCAAGCCGATTGTGGTATCAAAAAAAAAAAAGATGAGACAATCACAGTTCAGATGAAATAAATGTGAGTGGATTTTGTGGCAAAACCATTTGTTAGATTAGGCCGTTTTGTCGCTGTGCCCTTTCCAAAGATGATTTATCCAGTTCAATCCAGTGCAGTCCTCACAATTTTCAATTTCAATTTAGTTCATTATTTTTTAGCAACCTGACAACATTTCAAAGACATGTTCAATTTTAAAACACGTTTGGGATATGGCTACTTTTTTTGTGAGGCTACACTGAAGAAAAAAAAAAATGGTGTGTTGAATTTAATCCATATTATTTTGTTAAGTGGTTGCACAAAATAAAATCATCTGGGTCCGGATATATTTTTTTAATCATATACAGTATATATTCTCCTTTTAAAAAAATGTATCCATTAACAAAATAAAACTGAGCAAATTCAACAAGAACTTTTTTCGGTGGACATATAATAGGCATGCCTACCAAATTACTGTTGTGAAAATTGTTCCAGGGACTCAATTTTGAAACTAGTTTAGTTTTGTGCTAGTTTACTATTGGTAATAATGCGACAAAAATATGCTTAGAATATCACAACGTTATTATTCATTACATATGACAATTTGAACTGTTGGTATAGATTTTAGCAAACATCATGGAAGTTGACATGCTTAATTTGAATTTGCAGGCCACATAAAATGATGTGGCAGGCCAGATCAGGCACCCGGGCCTTACGTTGAACATCTGTGGTCTGTACACGTAATGCAAAGTTGATAGCAGTTGGGAAATCATCCAATTTCACTTTTGATGTCCAAAATTCTAAATGTATTCGATGATTAAAATAAGTGAAACTGACCTTGGCGGCACAATTCTTTCGAGATACATGATGAAAGGTCAACGACTATACCAACGAGCAAAATAGCACTGCATTTACGTCATTACGTTTGATCACTGGTGTGGCCTTACCAGGGGCGATGCTGTGCGGATCTGGCACTGTTACGGTTTCTGGTGCGCAGGGCCGGTCCGCACCCGATTCTTCCTCAGCAGAGTTGCGCTCTTCAGTGGAATTGACGTTATCAGCTCGCGAGTCCGTCTTTCTCTAGAAGGACATTAAAACAAATTGTTTTTCCCACGCTGCGGCTCAGTCATCCCTGTCAAGAATATTTATGATGATTTGCTCCAGAACTTCCTGAGGAAATGTTGACAACTTGAAACTAAATCCCTCCATTTGCCCCCGAGCAGTAAACAAAGCAGATGCAAGTGCTTCTCACTTCTAAGATAAGAGGGAGTGCAGCGCAGGGGAGGTGCGAGGACTTCCTTCCACTGAAATCCAAGTGAAAATGGACACACACACACACACACACACACACACACACACACACACGGGCACACTCAAAAAACAAATATGGAACACTCACAAAAAATGCGTGTATACAATGCCTAGATATTATGGTGCAGTAAGGCGGCCCAGTGGTCCAGTGATTTCTGTGTGTAGTTTGCATGTTCTCCCCATGCCTGCGTGGGTTTTCTCCGGGTACTCCGGTTTCCTCTCACATTCCAAAAACATGCATAGCAGGCTAATTGAACACTCTGAATTGTCCTTAAGTGTGAGTGTGAGCGCAGATGGTTGTTCGTCTCTGTGTGCCCTGCGATTGGCTGGCAACCGGTTCAGGGTGTCCTCCGCCTACTGCCTGAAGACAGCTGGGATAGGCTCCAGCACGCCCCGCTACCCTTGTGAGGATAAAGTGGATTGGAAAATGGATGAATGGATTATGGTGCAGTATTGATCAGTGTGCTGTGAACACCCATAGATGGCAGTGCTGCATGCAAACTGAATGTTACATAAAATTACCAGCAGTCAATCAAAGTACAAGAGAATGAAAATCCTGATGACTCTATTTTGTTGACATACTGACTTTTTACTGCATTTTAATAAAGTTATGTAGGTAGTGCTGTACAGTACAGTACAGTGATGCCAGTGGCGATATGAGTTTTATTCATTCCGTGGCCACGCTCGAAACTCAAAGCATTCACACCTAAAATCATCTATTCCCATAGAAATCAATGGAAGTGCCATTAATCAGTTCCAAAAACATGTGTGACATGTGTTTTCAATCAGAAAAACATGACTCTCTGACATTTTATATAATGTCATGACATAATTATACAGAATCTAAAAAAAAAACTTCATTTCAATGAGCATTTTGGTCACTTGTGGGCAGATAATAGACACACACTGTATATGGGGGTGTTTTGTCCTCACAGTCCTCAGTAAGTTGCTTTGTTATTGATCAGTGTGCTCTGAACACCCATAGATGGCAGTGCTGCATGCAAACTGAATGTTACATAAAATTACCAGCAGTCAATCAAAGTACAAGAGAATGAAAATCCTGATGACTCTATTTTGTTGACATACTGACTTTTTACTGCATTTTAATAAAGTTATGTAGGTAGTGCTGTACAGTACAGTACAGTGATGCCAGTGGCGATATGAGTTTTATTCATTCTGTGGCCACGCTCAAAACTCAAAGCATTCACACTTAAAATCATCTATTCCCATAGAAATCAATGGAAGTGCCATTAATCAGTTCCAAAAACATGTGTGACATGTGTTTTCAATCAGAAAAACATGACTCTCTGATATTTTATATAATGTCATGACATAACTACACAGAATCTAAAAAAAAAAAAAAACTTCAATTCAATGAGCATTTGGTCACTCGTGGGCAGTATAATAGACACACACTGTATATGGGGGTGTTTTGTCCTCACAGTCCTCAGTAAGTTGCTTTATAAAGAAAATATGCCTGCGGGTATTGTTCTGTTATCTGTCGACCTGTGTTGCTTCACTGTTAGTGTTTAAACACCTCATTGCTTAAAGGGTTAGAAGACTGTAAAACAGATGCTATTTGTTTGCTATCTAGAGTCTTTCCTTATATGTGTTTGTGTTAAACTAGTGCGGGAATACACAAAACAAAGTTGCACATGTAAACGGTTTGTTTTCCGTTTAGTTTTTCAGTAAACTTCAACTGGGAGCGGCATTAAACAGCTTGAAGTCTCTCTTTTGAGAAAAAAAAAAGGGTTAGCGTTAATGATGGCTCAGACTGTAAAAAAAGTTGGGTCACTCATAATGCAAAGGTAAAATGTTAATTTTGGGGTACATAGTGAGATGCAATCCATGCCTACGTTGAGATGCGAGTTGATGTCATCTTGGACATTTTCAAAGGTGTACTTTTCAGAGCGTTTCTGCCGTCTCTTGAAGAGCTGCGAGCCCCGATTGGATGCCAGGGCCAGCTCCTCTACCATGATGTCCTGGGGAACGCTCACTTTCTTGCCAAGGTCCACCTCCACGTCTGCGCACAAAAGCCAGAGCGGGTTAGAGCGAGCGACACGAAAATGTCTTTCGGTCTCTCAGCTGTCGGTGGCATTCAGGGCCTCCTCGTTCCAGACAGCAGTTGTCCTCGCCTCAAATAGCATTTTTGAGTCCACGACAAAGGGGTGGGTGGATTACACCGAGCCATAAAAGTATTCATTTTCTTATTTATAGACGGGTTCTGGTCGGTAAACTTAATACGGTGTGACTGTGTGAATGAGTATGGAAACGACAGTTACATTGGAATCGAGCAATTGCACCCGACGAGTTATATTATTTCAACTTGACGATTGATGCCAATCGTACCCTTGGCTTGTACCGCCCAAGAATAATTGTCCCGTTGACAGACATCATTAGTACATGTGGAAACCTCATTGGATGATTAAAAAAAAAATCCCACTTGTGACAGCAAAGGTACACCGTTGCATGTTAAGAGCCATGTGTCCTCAAAGCACAGTTGAATAATAATTGATTTTAACCAGTGGCGGAGCTATGTGGTGGCCGGGGGTGGCCCTGGCCACCCCACATCTGGAAGAAAATTTGGTTACCTGTGACTTAACTGCTAGTATCATTAGATGCCTTGATACTCTGCCACAATTCATTTATACCAACTATTTTTAGAACAAACCTACAATTGATTTTAATGAGAGCTTTGAAACGATCTGTCTTTACAAAAGAACAATTGATCATGACAGTCAACTTCGATCAAAATTATTATACACACACACACACACACACACACACACACACACACACACACACGCACACACACACACACACACACACACACGGGCACACTCAAAAAACAAATATGGAACACTCACAAAAAATGCGTGTATACAATGCCTAGATATTATGGTGCAGTAAGGCGGCCCAGTGGTCCAGTGATTTCTGTGTGTAGTTTGCATGTTCTCCCCATGCCTGCGTGGGTTTTCTCCGGGTACTCCGGTTTCCTCTCACATTCCAAAAACATGCATAGCAGGCTAATTGAACACTCTGAATTGTCCTTAAGTGTGAGTGTGAGCGCAGATGGTTGTTCGTCTCTGTGTGCCCTGCGATTGGCTGGCAACCGGTTCAGGGTGTCCTCCGCCTACTGCCTGAAGACAGCTGGGATAGGCTCCAGCACGCCCCGCTACCCTTGTGAGGATAAAGTGGATTGGAAAATGGATGAATGGATTATGGTGCAGTATTGATCAGTGTGCTGTGAACACCCATAGATGGCAGTGCTGCATGCAAACTGAATGTTACATAAAATTACCAGCAGTCAATCAAAGTACAAGAGAATGAAAATCCTGATGACTCTACTTTGTTGACATAATAAAGTTATGTAGGTAGTGCTGTACAGTACAGTACAGTGATGCCAGTGGCGATATGAGTTTTATTCATTCCGTGGCCACGCTCGAAACTCAAAGCATTCACACCTAAAATCATCTATTCCCATAGAAATCAATGGAAGTGCCATTAATCAGTTCCAAAAACATGTGTGACATGTGTTTTCAATCAGAAAAACATGACTCTCTGATATTTTATATAATGTCATGACATAACTACACAGAATCTAAAAAAAAAAAAAAAACTTCAATTCAATGAGCATTTGGTCACTCGTGGGCAGTATAATAGACACACACTGTATATGGGGGTGTTTTGTCCTCACAGTCCTCAGTAAGTTGCTTTATAAAGAAAATATGCCTGCGGGTATTGTTCTGTTATCTGTCGACCTGTGTTGCTTCACTGTTAGTGTTTAAACACCTCATTGCTTAAAGGGTTAGAAGACTGTAAAACAGATGCTATTTGTTTGCTATCTAGAGTCTTTCCTTATATGTGTTTGTGTTAAACTAGTGCGGGAATACACAAAACAAAGTTGCACATGTAAACGGTTTGTTTTCCGTTTAGTTTTTCAGTAAACTTCAACTGGGAGCGGCATGAAACAGCTTGAAGTCTCTCTTTAGAGAAAAAAAAAAGTGTTAGCGTTAATGATGGCTCAGACTGTAAAAAAAGTTGGGTCACTCATAATGCAAAGGTAAAATGTTAATTTTGGGGTACATAGTGAGATGCAATCCATGCCTACGTTGAGATGCGAGTTGATGTCATCTTGGACATTTTCAAAGGTGTACTTTTCAGAGCGTTTCTGCCGTCTCTTGAAGAGCTGCGAGCCCCGATTGGATGCCAGGGCCAGCTCCTCTACCATGATGTCCTGGGGAACGCTCACTTTCTTGCCAAGGTCCACCTCCACGTCTGCGCACAAAAGCCAGAGCGGGTTAGAGCGAGCGACACGAAAATGTCTTTCGGTCTCTCAGCTGTCGGTGGCATTCAGGGCCTCCTCGTTCCAGACAGCAGTTGTCCTCGCCTCAAATAGCATTTTTGAGTCCACGACAAAGGGGTGGGTGGATTACACCGAGCCATAAAAGTATTCATTTTCTTATTTATAGACGGGTTCCGGTCGGTAAACTTAATACGGTGTGACTGTGTGAATGAGTATGGAAACGACAGTTACATTGGAATCGAGCAATTGCACCCGACGAGTTATATTATTTCAACTTGACGATTGATGCCAATCGTACCCTTGGCTTGTACCGCCCAAGAATAATTGTCCCGTTGACAGACATCATTAGTACATGTGGAAACCTCATTGGATGATTAAAAAAAAAATCCCACTTGTGACAGCAAAGGTACACCGTTGCATGTTAAGAGCCATGTGTCCTCAAAGCACAGTTGAATAATAATTGATTTTAACCAGTGGCGGAGCTATGTGGTGGCCGGGGGTGGCCCTGGCCACCCCACATCTGGAAGAAAATTTGGTTACCTGTGACTTAACTGCTAGTATCATTAGATGCCTTGATACTCTGCCACAATTCATTTATACCAACTATTTTTAGAACAAACCTACAATTGATTTTAATGAGAGCTCTGAAACGATCTGTCTTTACAAAAGAACAATTGATCATGACAGTCAACTTTGATCAAAATTATTATTTTCCCACAATGGCAAGCGAAGAAAATGGCTGAAAAGTCACTGTTTGGAGATTTGCGTGTTATGATCAAAGCACAGTTGAATAATAATTGATTTTAACCAGTGGCGGAGCTATGTGGTGGCCGGGGGTGGCCCTGGCCACCCCACATCTGGAAGAAAATTTGGTTACCTGTGACTTAACTGCTAGTATCATTAGATGCCTTGATACTCTGCCACAATTCATTTATACCAACTATTTTTAGAACAAACCTACAATTGATTTTAATGAGAGCTTTGAAACGATCTGTCTTTACAAAAGAACAATTGATCATGACAGTCAACTTCGATCAAAATTATTATTTTCCCACCATGGCAAGCGAAGAAAATGGCTGAGAAGTCACTGTTAAAGAGATTTGCGTGCCATGGTGCTTTTTTGATATGATTTCAATGAATGGGCCATCAATCGTGGTATGCAAAACGCATTGATCTGATTGGCTGTTAGCTAGCAAGTCCAAATTCGTACAAGAGATAGAAGTAAACTACAAGCATGTAACAGTAAATAAAATAGGACTGTCTCGAAAGTTAACCCTTTCAGGGACAGCGGTTACTAGAGTGGACAGCCTATCACGTTATCAGGTCACAGGTTATCATCATTGGTGCATGAAAGGGTTAAGGTCAGCAAAATGATGCTTTTTACTTTGACTTGATTTTGCTGTTTAGCCAATTTCTGGGTATGTGTGCATTTTATTTCATGCAACCCTGACTGTGGATGGCATGATAAACAATGACTTTTTAGTTACACCCGCATATTTCAGGCCACACCGTGGCTATGGCCAGTGAGATCTTGCATTGGCCACTCCGATGAAAATGTCTTTACCTTCCAGTGCTTGAATCTCCCTGCAGACTGCTGCAGCCTGAGCTTTCCTCTCCCCGGTCGTCATGGTGGAGAAAAGCGACATGGCTGCCCCTGGGAATTAGAGAGGACACATTAGTATGACCTCGACATCAAGCTGACTTATCAGGGCAAAGAAAAGAGCAAAGTGAGCACATCTCTTTAAATAACCCCGGGCCGTTAAACTGCAAGCACATGCTCGTCAAACAGTGCGAAGCAGCCGTGTCGGGCCCGCCAATCGATAGATGTAGAGATTAGCCAAGCGAGTGCAAAGAACTCTTCAATTGCCACATTGCGCGTGGTACAGCTGCTGTCCCAACACTTTTTGTCCATACCCATTTTGGCAATGAAGGCAAGCGGTGTGAATGACAGGAAACTGTGCACAATGAAGCATTACCTGAGCAAGCGGTCACTTACCTGCCCTGAAGAACCCTGCTGGTGTGGGGGAATTCTCTGGAACTGCAGAAAAAAAGCTGGACAGTGTCAGCCAAGCGGGCACGCTCACTCCACGGGGACCAGGGGAAAGGTCAGGGGGGGGTCTGTGGCTCAACCTCACAGAACAACTGAATGAGTGGGTGGCTGGGTCTGTGGGTGTCAGTGTGTTGTCATTGCTATGTCGCTCATCGGTGAAAAGGGGCCTAAATTTAGAGCAGTACAGTCTATTGGTCAGCAGGGTGGGCTACATGCTGCTCATTCAAAATCAGTCGTGCGCAACTGCCACTCCTTGTGTAATGAGGCGTATTTTTAAAGCAGAGGTTCCCAACCATTACCATTTTATTTTGGAAAAATCTCATGGCCCGCCACCAAAAATTAACGGTCACAAACCGTTAATGAAATCATGATGATCAAGTTAGTCACAAATTACTTGACGTGAAATGGGGCCTGTTTCGTTGAACACATTTTTAAAGCAGAGGTTCCCAACCATTACCATTTTCTTTCGGAAAAATCTCATGGCACGCCACCAAAAATAAAGGTCACAAACGTATAATGAAATAATGATGATCAAGTTAGTCACAAATTACTCGACGTGAAATGGGGCCAGTTTCGTTGAACATGGGTGTGCTTGGATCGCCACTTCCAAATTTGAAAAGTGTTTTCTTTTTTGGGGGCTTGTTGTTGTTCTTTTTATTAGAACGCGGCGTTGGAATGAACATTTGGAAAAATGAATGTTCGTGTGAGCTAGCATTGGTGGAATGAATCTTGTAAATTTGGGACTGAAGGCATACATTTAAATTTAATTTCAGTTATTTTTTCATGGTAAGACTTATTATTGTTGAGCTGCAGAACATTTGGAAAAATGAATGTTCGTGTGAGCTAGCAGTGATGGAATGAATCTTGGAGAGTTGGGACGGAAGGCATGCATCTAGTTTAATTTCAGTTGTTATTTTTTCATGGGAAGAATTCTTATTATTGTTGAGCTGCAGTTTTTTTCTCATTGAAGGTGCGACATTTATTTTGATTCAGTTTAATTGTTGGAAAAACTCTCTTGTTCATTTTATTTTTAACTTAACACGGAACGCGTTGCCTCATGCAACAACTATTCAATAAGCTCTTTAAAAATAGAATCGATGGTAAAAGCTGTTGTTTGTTAACGACCCAAATGTTTCAAATGACTACATTTTGCAATTGCAACATCGCAATAATGTGAAACCGTGATATTTTTGCTCAGCCTAATGTTCTGAATGTGATGCCAGTCACATGAAGCTGTACTATGAATGACAACAGGTGGATACAATACACGTAATCGTATCTTCTGCCATCTAGTGGAAGAGCACATTTATTTTTCTGCATGTCAATACAAATCGCTAGTATCAATAGACCTGTTTTTGTTGTTGTACATCATTTAAATTTTATCTAATTTTCAGACCAGTTATTTAACTGGTCTGAAAGTTGGATCATTTTCTGCATTGTTGCATAATAGTTGGGAAAGTCTGCTTTCAACAAAAAAGCATGGGTGCGAAAGTTGTCTTTATTTTTGGAAATTTGGAGGCTAGTCATCAGCATGCTAAATAGGAATTATCACTGCAAAAATGAACAGAAACTAAAACCAAAAGTGATAAAAGAAGGGGGACGCAAACGAATAGAATAAGTAAAAACAAATGCTTGCCACAGTCATGAAATCAATTACTTCAAATTCTCCATGTGATGAAAATAAAATTACGGCATGCAAAGTTTCTGGAGTCTTTGCGTCTTACTGCTGCCAATTGCACTTGGGGCCAGTCCCACGGGGGCCTTTTCCCCGTCAGCCGGGAGCCCCGAGTGGCTCGCAGACCGTTGAGGCTGCCACTTTCTGGGCAGAGAACCGTAACCAACACGCTCACCAGTGCTGGATACACCCCCCTGACCTGGACCCCAGCCCCATTGGCCGCCCGC